CTCTTAAAAAAAATGGGCACTGAGGTCTCTTAAATGAAAATGGGCACTGAGGTCTCTTAAATGAAAATGGGCACTGAGGTCTCTTAAATGAAAAAATGGGCACTGAGGTCTCTTAAATGAAAATGGGCACTGAGGTCTCTTAAATGAAAATGGGCACTGAGGTCTCTTAAATGAAAATGGGCACTGAGGTCTCTTAAATGAAAATGGGCACTGAGGTCTCTTAAATGAAAATGGGCACTGAGGTCTCTTAAATGAAAATGGGCACTGAGGTCTCTTAAATGAAAATGGGCACTGAGGTCTCTTAAATGAAAATGGGCACTGAGGTCTCTTAAATGAAAATGGGCACTGAGGTCTCTTAAATGAAAATGGGCACTGAGGTCTCTTAAATGAAAATGGGCACTGAGGTCTCTTAAATGAAAATGGGCACTGAGGTCTCTTAAATGAAAATGGGCACTGAGGTCTCTTAAATGAAAATGGGCACTGAGGTCTCTTAAATGAAAAATGGGCACTGAGGTCTCTTAAATGAAAATGGGCACTGAGGTCTCTTAAATGAAAAACTGAGGTCTCTTAAATGAAAATGGGCACTGAGGTCTCTTAAATGAAAAATGGGCACTGAGGTCTCTTAAATGAAAATGGGCACTGAGGTCTCTTAAATGAAAATGGGCACTGAGGTCTCTTAAATGAAAATGGGCACTGAGGTCTCTTAAATGAAAATGGGCACTGAGGTCTCTTAAATGAAAATGGGCACTGAGGTCTCTTAAATGAAAATGGGCACTGAGGTCTCTTAAATGAAAATGGGCACTGAGGTCTCTTAAATGAAAATGGGCACTGAGGTCTCTTAAATGAAAATGGGCACTGAGGTCTCTTAAATGAAAATGGGCACTGAGGTCTCTTAAATGAAAATGGGCACTGAGGTCTCTTAAATGAAAAAATGGGCACTGAGGTCTCTTAAATGAAAATGGGCACTGAGGTCTCTTAAATGAAAATGGGCACTGAGGTCTCTTAAATGAAAATGGGCACTGAGGTCTCTTAAATGAAAATGGGCACTGAGGTCTCTTAAATGAAAATGGGCACTGAGGTCTCTTAAATGAAAATGGGCACTGAGGTCTCTTAAATGAAAATGGGCTGGGTTTGAGGTCTCTTAAATGAAAATGGGCACTGAGGTCTCTTAAATGAAAATGGGCACTGAGGTCTCTTAAATGAAAAATGGGCACTGAGGTCTCTTAAATGAAAATGGGCACTGAGGTCTCTTAAATGAAAATGGGCACTGAGGTCTCTTAAATGAAAATGGGCACTGAGGTCTCTTAAATGAAAATGGGCACTGAGGTCTCTTAAATGAAAATGGGCACTGAGGTCTCTTAAATGAAAATGGGCACTGAGGTCTCTTAAATGAAAATGGGCACTGAGGTCTCTTAAATGAAAATGGGCACTGAGGTCTCTTAAATGAAAATGGGCACTGAGGTCTCTTAAATGAAAATGGGCACTGAGGTCTCTTAAATGAAAATGGGCACTGAGGTCTCTTAAATGAAAATGGGCACTGAGGTCTCTTAAATGAAAATGGGCACTGAGGTCTCTTAAATGAAAATGGGCACTGAGGCCTCTTAAATGAAAATGGGCACTGAGGCCTCTTAAATGAAAATGGATGTGGATGATTATATATGTGTTCCCTAGAGAGGACAGTCATATCTGATGATCTCTCCTTAACATAGAACCTCCTGATTAAACAAAGTCTGAATAGTGTTTTTGAACACACATTTCCTGATTCTCAAAATATATATCTGCTCTGTTTTGTATCCTAACATAAACAAAGACATTTTTTAGGAAATAGATTAAATCCGACATTTTTAATTTATTTGTTTAAACATTGTTTTTTAATGAATACTCATATTTGAGTAGATGCCCTGTTTTTATTATTAAACAGTATATTTATTTATTTCTATTGCTCTGAATATTCAAGAAATCTCGTTAGAAAAATATCCCATTTATTTTAGATGCCAAATATATTTTATTTTTAAATTATTAACTGTAATCCTCATATAATATTTGACTGTGGTAACCAGATATTTCTATTAAAATTTAAATTATGTAAGTCTATATTCAGCACCTGAAAATTGCATTGTGTATGAAACTCCAAGTCATGCTACTGGTGAAGGATAATATGTATATTTATTAATATATAATTAATAGCTCTGTTTTATTAACACCAGCACTATATGTGATATATTTTGTTCCTTTTAATCGAGCCCTGTTATAGGGGTAATAAAAGTATTTATACTTTGTATCCTAAACTTATCAGAATATGGAACCCCTTAACTTGGAATATTCCAGTAAAAATATCATGGTTTCCAACAAAAGATCATATAAACTGACACTTTTACACAAGATCAAGAGCATCATAAAAGAATGAGGTGGAAACTCTTCTTCTTTAAACACAAGAATGAGTCTAACAACTTAAAAGATACTGAGCTTTATGGATTTAAGTCCCAAAAAATACTTCTATACAACGAACAACTATTGGACTTTGTCTATTACTGAGAATAGATCTTTATCAAAAATTAAATTTGCTAAAACTTCCAATGATCTGCAGCAAAAAATGCAAAAAGGACATTTCAGTTATTAAAATATCAGATAAAATGTTTATCAAAGCAGAAAAGACAGTTAACCATTATGAAATCGATGTAGATATGTACTACAAAGCTATTAACAAAGTTAAGTTTTATAAAAAGGCACCGAATAACTGGGAAAATTACATCAATAGTGAAGCCAAGAAAATAGTCATCGAATTAAAAATTGATGATAAGATTTACAAATTCCACAAACAACAAGCATTCATCACAGTTAAAGACCACAAAGCAAATTTACTAAACAAACCACAATACCGATTACTCAACCTAATTAAAAATAATATTGGTAAAAATCAGCAAAATCATCCTTGAAAAAAACAAAAAAAAACAAAAAAAGCTCTAGAAGTTAACCAGTGGCATAAAACAGAAGTCATAAAATGGTTTATTAATATGAAAAGGAAGAAAGAATGTATGGCCATCAAATTCGATATTTGTGATTTTTACCTGGCCATCACTGAGAATCTGCTAATCTGCTATCAATTTAGCAAAAGATTTACTGTTCACGAAATCAAAATTATAAAGAAGGCACAAAAATCTATATTATTCCATAATGATTATCTGTGAACCAAAAGAAATAAAAAATTTAACATTGCTATAGGAGCATATGATTCTACGGAGGCATGTGGAATTGTTGGAATCTTGTTATTGTGGCAACTAAGATTTATTTTTGACATTAAGGACACTGGACCATATAGAAATGACAGTGTAATTCTCATCTGTAAAACAAATCAGACTGATTGAGAAAGGAACTGATAAAATTTTTCAAAGTTCATGAGCTAAATATCACCATTACCACCAATGCTAAAGTGATCAACTTTCTCGATGTGACTGTAGACTTGAATACTGGTTATTACAAACCATATACCACAAAGATCTATATAACCACAGATACATTAGTAAAGAATCAAACCATCATCATAACATTCTAGATAATTTACATAAATCAGTCCATGTTAGATTATCTACTAACTTCAGTAATAAGGAAATATTCGATAATAAAATTAAATATATAAAAGTTTTAGAACTAATCAGCCATAAAGTAAATTCAGAGTATTTAGAAAAAAAAAACAAAAGGTAAAAATAAACAAAAATACCGTAGATGTAACATATGGTTTAGTCCAACTTTTAATTGTAATGTTCAAATGAATATCAGAAAAATTTTCATAAATCCATAAGCACTTTAATCATTCACCAATGCTTAAAAAAGATTTTTAACAAAAATAATGTTAAGATCAGCTATAGCTGTGTTAGTAACATTGATAAATCTATGTCCCAACAATATTATTTTAAACAGCTACATGTTCAAGAAATTAAAAAAAATAAATAAATAAATAAATGCAACTGTTGAAAGAAATATGATCTGTCCTTTAAACAGCCAATGTATGAATGATAATATTGTATACTGAACTAGCATACATTCTGATAACAATGTCAAATTTTATTTTGGTTGCACCAAAAATTCTTGGAAATTTTGTTTCTACCATTATCAAATGACTTTAGGCAATATAAAATACATAAACAGCACTGCTCTCTCAAAACATTTCTGGAAATTAAAGAATGGTGGTAATACACCCATTATTATGGGGGGGGTATTATAGCTAAAGCCAAATCTCACATTGGAAAAGGCAATAAATGTAATTTATGCCTTGTTGATAAATTAGTTATTTTAAAAAACTTAAATAACCCTAGCTTATTAAACAAGGGAAATGAATTGAGCGTTAAATTTAGGCATAAAAATAAATATCTGTTGAAATATGTTGATCCAGATTAATTTTTCATTTAAATTATGGTTTGTTCTTTTAAAAATAACCAGTAATTTTCCTCTTTGCTTAACATAAAAAAAAAAAAATAGTAATCACTCCAAAATAATTATTTTATCTCTCTCTCTCACACACACACACAATAAGAATGAGTGATGATCAGATACCGAAAATCCTCATGTATAGCCAATTTTTTCATGGTAAGCATAATGTAGGTCATCCTTGGTTACACTTCAAGGACAAACTCAAAACAATTTAAATGCTGCAAACATTTCTATAGAGGAGTTCAAACTTGCTGTTGAAAATTGAGCAAAGTGGAGAAACACCTGTCACTGAGGTATAACTAACTTTAAAAAGAATCATCTCAACCATCTGAGAGAATTAAAAACCAACACTAAATCTTGGGCCAATATATCAGCCCATATGATGGTCAACCCTTCAGCATGTCCCTCATGTGGATTTGTTTGCAAATCCCGTGAAATGACGTGAGAGCCCACCATTATATATATATATATATATATATATATAAAGCAGTGATTTAATCAATTAGGCTAGTGTCCTGTGGGACAATCCTAAGTGTAGAATAAATATATATTAAAAAATAGTGATTACTTACTTGGAATGGTGGTAACAACTTCCCCAACCTGAAGTTTATATAAAATGGTGGTTTTTCCTGCTCCATCCAAACCAAGGATGAGGATTCTCCTTTCTTTTGTTCGAAATAAATCGGAGAAATAACTTAGAAGTCCACCTGGAAAAAAAAAAAAGGGCATATAAAAATGAAAATATAAAACTTTAGCAATAGATACAGAAAATATAGTATTAAAATAGGGTAGGGTCATAACTTGTTAAAGTTTGAAGCTTGTCAAAAGCAAGTTTCTCTTGAGGCAAGAAGATGAGATTACCTGAAAAAAAAAAAAAAAAAAAAAATCCCACCATCTACAATGAAAATAGAAACTTGTTGAAATTTCACAGGTTGTATCTGCAATTTGAAAATATATAGAGTTCAATAACAATGAATTTCACAACTTTCAAAGTTGACTTTTTCTTTTTTTATAAATTCAAAGATTTTTTTTTTTTTTTACACAAGGAATAATGTCTTATAACAAGTTGTTGAAAGTTTAAACTAACCTGCTCTACAGAAAGAATTTTAATCCTGATCTTGCAGAAGGCCTAAAAGGAAATTTTGGACTCATACACCATAGACTTAAATTATATATTGAATCATACCTTAATGGAAAATCATAACATTACATTTAATTTACATATGTGGGTGAATTTCAGAGATTTCAAGTAGCTACATATTCTAAATAAATAAACAAAAAATTCTGTCTGTTTGTCTGAAATCCTTCTAATTCTGGCCCCACTTGCTCTAAATAGACCTTTTATACCTTTTTGGAATCAGGATGATCCCGGGATTAAAAAACTCCCCTTCAATTGGTGCTTGAACATCCAGTGTTTGGATGAGAATAGAACAGCCAAAAATTAAAATTTTAAAATAACTGAAAAAAATTAGTGATTTTAAGTTTTTAATTTATACCGAGTTTAACTTAACACAAAAACTCTGTGAATTTAGAAATGTTTTGTTTTAAATTCAGTTTAAAATATCTTCAAAATGCCAAAGGATCAGAGTTAAAGTGAGTGGTAACGTGATATGAGGTTTTGAAGTTCCACATATTTTGTGATTTGAAGAACTCAATTTTTGGCTTGAACTGGTCATTTGGCCAGAACTGCATCCGAGTTCATTATGTTTTGAAGTTCCATGGAGTGAGTTGAGGACGTCAAAATTATCATTGCTGATTTCTAAGCTAGACTAGAGGTCACTTAAGTTTTGGGTCAAAGGCTTAATTAGCCCTCTGCAGGAGCTAGCTTAAAAGTTCACACAAAGTGTGGCTCTTAAGCTAGCCTACCATAAATTTATCCATCTAATTGTGGGGTTAATATTTATGACCTGTGGTGGCTATTGCACATACTATAAATACATATTTTTAAATCTCTAGTCTTCCATGATCAGAAAAGGTGATAGAAATGAAAAGCAAGCTTGAATTATAAATTTGTGCTAGCTATTGTGAGTTTGAAGACAAGACTTTTTTTTTTGAATTGTACAAGTCTCAGCATTGCAGTTTCAAAGCGAAATGTGTCTTTATGCATGACAATGCTCCATCTCCATGAGGTTATCCATGAATTTTTTGAGTGTAAAAGGTTTATAGGAGAAAAGATAATGTAATGGCTACTGTCAAGTCCCGATATGAAACTGATCGAAAATCTATGGTCAAATGTGAAGATAAAATTATATGAAGGTGGCAAACAATATGACAGGAAAGCAGGCCTATGGAAAGCAATTAAAACAATCATATCAGAAACTGAACCTGCTGAAGTATAAAAAAAAAAAAAATTAATAAAAATCAATGGATTGCTGGTTGTTATTGAGAAGGAGGATCATGAAATTAAGATGTAAATGCTTTAAAGACATATCTTTTACTAATATTCATCCAATACAAGGCCCAAGAGCAACTCAAGGTAGAGGGTTACTGTGTGGAGTCAATCCTAAACATCTGTTATAGGTGTTGATCAATTGTTGATTTTATTACCTTGTTATAGAAGTAAAAAGTGATTTTCTGATTTTACATAATAACTTCAGACTGCAATTTTTATCATAAATCCAATAACTTAAACATGTTGAAATTTCCTAAAGATTTAACTCAAACTTTGTTCGGTTAAAATTAATAGTTTAAGATTTGACAAAAATTGTTCAAAGTAAATTTGAGTTATTGCGGTTCATGTTATTTGTATACTAACTTCAGACAGACTATAGAAAAGTGCAAGAAAAAGTGAAAAGTACTGGTTTACAGCAAGTAAATCTTCAGTTGAATACTTATTTCGATAAAGTAAAAGTAAAAATAAAAAAAAATTGATTTCCTTGATGGATATACAGTAAGGGTCCAGTTTTGCATAATACTTAAATAGTAAATGGAAGCTTGGATTAAAATTCCAAAATTTAGAAAAAAAAAAAAAATTGATAGGTTACAAACAAGTTCCAATGTCCAATTAGTAATCACAGAAAAATTGATGGTCAAAGTTTGAGCAGTCCTTGGATTATGAAATACAAAACAGACATTTAATGATTTTTCTATATCAAAAAGGTATATTCATTTAGATAGTACTAGCAGTATAACCTGTCTTTGACTGGGTGTTTCATTACTGAGAATTTTTACCGTTCACTTGGAGCAGTTTAAGTTTAAAGTCAGTCCACCAGAAAATCAATATTAGTAACAACATTTGGGTGCAACTGAGGCACATCCCCAAATAGGTGGAGGGGGGGGTAACAATTTGAATGGGGGTGGCCTTGAAAAGGGCTGTTTTAGCATTCTCAATCTTGCAAGGAAGAAACTTCTTCCATGGACCGTCATAATAATAATATACGATAATTTTTTTTTATGATAATTTTTTTTATAATTCTAATAATCTTTTGCATTAAATTTCAACTCTCTAAATTGATTGTATGCTGTTTTTTGGGTTTTTTTTCGATTTTTCACCTTCAAGGTTGTAATTTTTTCCAGTCAATTTGGACTCAAAACTGTCACTGAAGAATTATCTATCAAACAAAAAAAGTTTCATCAAAATCGAAAACTGAAGAAATGCATAAACAACATCCGATCACACACACATTTTGAGAATTATAGATATAGATTCCCCACCACCAATCAAAAAAGAGGCACTACTTAAATAGACAGGTCCATTCATAAAATAAGAGAAAAATCATTTTAGATTAGCAGTCATTAGATCTTCCTCGTGATATGACACTGGTCAGAATCAAAAAATATTGATTTATCAATTTCTGAGGGTGGGTCCTGTTCATAAATAATTTCCATGGGTGGGTCCTGTTCATAAATAATTATACAGTTTTTAAATCAATTCCCAACTTTTATTTCTTTAGAGTTATCTCATCTTAGCTGTTCTACGCATGAAAACAATGTTTTGTTTTGTTCACAAAATGATTTTTAAATATATTTTTAATTAGGTTGAAAGCCACCCTTATCAGGCGACATTTAAGCTAGCTCCTGCAGAGGGCTCTTAATTGGGCTTTCATCACAATAGGTAGAGAGGAGTAGATGCGATAGGCAACAATAGACTACAGAAGAACACAAAATTGATTGCTGCATTTAAATATTGTATTAATATTCAAGATTACCTTCTAAAAGTTCAACAATAGTTATTCTGCTGCCACTTAATTTAAAGACAATTTGATGTACATATGTCCGTGTAAAAAGTCAGAGATTGATTTTACACTATATCAATATTATGAACAAGACATCACTTCTAAATTGATAGAAAAAAAAGAACAAAAAACTGACAACTGATGTGGCTCAAGGAGAGAGATCGGAAGAGAGTGAAGAAAAAGAGTGGAAAAGGGAGAGAGAGGGTGAAAGAGGGAGAGAGAGAGAGAGAAAAAAAAGGTTTGGTTCTTTTTATTGTCAAAGATTTCACAATTCAATGTAGCATGAAAAAGCTATGGTGACCCAGACAGCAAAAATAAGTTTTTCTTGCAGGTACTTATTTGTATTGTTCACATATTTTATAGTATTCAATCACAATTTCTCAAACTGTTTACTGAGTTAGTAAACATTACTTTGTTGAGATGGTTCCAAAATATACTCACCAAGTTATTGTGACAAGCATTGTTAGACTAAAAATAAATTTCCTCCACTTCCCCGTAAATCATTTCCTCCTACCTATGTATCATAAATGACAAAAAAGGAAAAAAAAAAAAAAAAAAAAAAGAAAAGGAAAAAAAAGGGGGAAAAGGGGAGAAAAGGAATGGGAAAGGGGGGGAAAAAGAAAGAAAAAAGAAAAGGGAAAAAAAAGGAAAAAGAAAAAAAAAGGAAAAGAAAGAAAAAAAGAAAGGAAAAAGAAAGGAAAAAGAAAAGGTCCAAAAGGAAAGGAAGAAAGAAAAAAGAAAGGAAAAAAAAAAAGAAAAAAAGAAAGGAAAAAGAAAGGAAAAAAAGAAAGGAAAAAGGAAAAAAAAAAAAAGAAAAAAAAAAAAAAGAAAAAAAAGGAAAGGAAAAAGAAAGGAAAAAGAAAAAAAGAAAGAAAAAAGAAAAAAAAAGAAAAGAAAAAAAAAAGGAAAAGAAAAGAAAAAGAAAAAAAAAAGGAAAAAAGAAAGGAAAAAAGAAAGGAAAGAAAGGAAAAAAAGAAAGGAAAAAAAGAAAGGAAAAAAAAGGAAAAAGAAAGGAAAAGAAAAGAAAAAAGAAAAAAAAAAGAAAGTAAAAAAGAAAGGAAAAAGAAAGGAAAAAAAAGGAAAAAAGAAAAAAAAAGAAAGGAAAAAAAGAAAGGAAAAAAAGAAAGGAAAAAAAGAAAGGAAAAAAAGAAAGAAAAAAAAGAAAGGAAAAAAAGAAAGGAAAAAAAGAAAGGAAAAAAAGAAAGGAAAAAAAGAAAGGAAAAAAGAAAGGAAAAAAAGAAAGGAAAAAAGAAAGGAAAAAAGAAAAAATTTATAAGCCAACATTTTTTATGACTTCCAATGTTATTATATTGGACTTCTTATTTGAAATAGATGCCCCATTTTTATTTATTAAATAGTGTGTATTATTGTTATCATGACTCTGTATGAGCACTTCTCCAAACATTTCACTCTCCATCCTATAAATAAGTGGAGAGTATCCTCTAACAAGGATGGATTGTTGCATCAGTTTTTTTTTTTTTTTTTTTTTTAAAATGTAAAAACATATTTGTGTGTGGGAGGTAGGATCAGTAACTTCCTAGTTCCATCAGCATATTATTCCAGGCCTCAGGATGCATCAACTGATCCTATTTACATAATGGAGGTGCTGTATGGGACACAGATCCCAGGATTTTAATGGTTTACTTTTGTTACAATTTCCTTTAACAAATAATTGTTATTCATATACAGCTGTTTGGCGAGTTCCCTAAACTTTGGCAAGAAACTGGAAACAGATAACACTGGGTACCAAAAATCAAAAAGAATCTGATCCTATTCCAATAAATCATTGCTAAAATAAAATGTCCAGAGGTTGTCTAACAACAAAAAAATGTTTTTAAATTATGTATACAAACCAATAGAGAATGCATGGTTGTCAGCAAAAGAGACAGTGCAACATGTGAATTATATATTGGGGACAGCAAAAATCAGACAGGTGAAAAATATCTATCCATATTTCTGAGACAAGATATTATGTACACTATTTACATTATTCGTTATTCAGACTATTGTCCTCATCTTCGTCGCCATATTAAAACTTTTCGGCTATTGTATGCTCCAGCCTTCTTCAGGTGGTTGGAATGTCGAACTGAATCCTTTATTTTGCTCACTGGGGTAGACTGTTCTAGAACCAGAGAGAAGCGATAATAACAAAAATTGCAATATGATCACTGGTAAAAAAAATGGTTGCTGAAGACATTAGGCTTATAATACCCAGAAATTCATACATGGCACATGTGGATAAAGGTGTTGGTTAGATCCAGGACCCAAAGAGTGTGAGTTCAATACCTGGTTAAGGCGGTGGAGAACTTGGAGAGGGAATTAAGCAGGAGATAACTGATAACTGACATCCATTAAACATAGCATGACATTCCAAGAAGCTAGAATGGCTGAAACATTGTAATAAATGTCGACAAAGATGAGGACAATAGTTCGAATAATGTAAATAGTGTAGGTAAAAGATAATGAGAATGTGACAGAGATCCAAAGGCATATAGGAATAATGAAAGAAGCCTTATAAAAGAGATCCAAAGGCATATAGGAATAATGAAAGAAGCCTTATAAAAAGTAAAAGATGAAAAAATTTTGTTAGAAGCAAAGAAAAGAGTACTGCTATTTAACAGATGGTATAGAATCAAAACAAGAGCAACAAAAGACAACTGGGAGAGTCATAATTACCCATGTCCCAAAGGAACATGGTGTATGATGCTAACCAACAAGAACTTTGCTCACCAGACAATTTCTAATCACAGTGAATGAATTTAGAGCTCTGTCTTGTTTGTCAATAAAATAATGATTTTTTTTTTTATGCAACTATTTTGATTGTCCTTAAATACAAAATGTATTTCTGATAACCTTAATACATAGTTAATTATTGTTTATAGAGTCAGTAGACAAAAACATTCCATTCTGGGGATAGGCTAATCAGGCTGTGTCAGCATCATCCAATTCCCAAGTATATCCAGTTCAAAGCAACAGAAATCTTTAAGAACATATCATTCATCCTTGATTTCAGTAGGATTCAAAGATGTTAAATAAACCATCAAGAATAAAAGAATCTTAATTTACCAATTTAAAGCTTTGTTTTTACTTTGTACACTAAAATGTTGACTTAGATAAATTTTACTGAAAGTATTCCTAAGAATGCTGCACAAAGAAAAAGAAAAATGAATGTGGCTCAAAATTGAGAAAAATGATCAGAGTCCTAAGATTCCAATCCAATTAGGTGGATACCATATCTGGACATCATTGCCAGAATCAAGGAAATAGCCTTGTACATCCTTCAGGCTTGGGCAGATGAGCTCAGATGGAAAATAGAAACAGAGCAATCAGTAGTAATAGAAATAATTAGGGGAGATATCCCTAGACATGATCAGTGGAAGAACAATCTACCCCCCACCCATAGATTAAATAAAGGGTTCAGTACAAAATTCCCTGTAGGTTACCTGGAACAACATACACTGGCTGAAACCTTGTAACAACAAGGAAAGATGAAGACAATAGTCCACATGTAAACAAAGTTTAAATTTATTTAACAGCTGTGACAGATAAATAAACCTAACTTTTGAAACCCCCAAAACTGTTTCCATGGCCAGCTGTAACCAACCTTGATATTGGACACAGATGTAGTTTAATGTGTTCAGAGTTTGGTGGAAAATGACGTATGGTCTTTATTAGAAATACACAAAAATAAAATTAAATGTTTGTATAATGGTTTTGCTGTGGGATCAGTCAGCAACATTCAGGAGATTGTTTAAATACTGAAAGTGTAATCTGATAAATGTCAAACAGATATTATTTGAAAGAGCATTATATGTAGTGCCAAAATGTAAGCAATAAACCTTGGTCTGTGTTTTGCAATTGTCGGTAAAATCTATATTATGAAAGAGCTGAATCTGTCACACACTGTGCATGACTTTGCAATATAGTGTGAGTGCGTGTGTGTGTGTTAATGACTTACATGTGCTTGTACCATTTGATGTGTATATATATATATATATATATATATATATATATATATATATATATGCATACACAATTTGGCTGAGTCTGAAATAAGACTGGAATAATACATCACCACTCTCACTCAGTCTACCCTACACTGAACAAGGGGAGAGGAAATTAACAGGTCCATGTCAGTCAAACTGTTTGCTTATATAAAAAAAAGAGAAAAAAAAAAACTTTCTTTTCTCTTACTTACATGAAGATTTGGTATCTTATGGATAATTGTGTGTGTTACTTTGATGTCCTTTTTTTTTTTTCTATTCCTGCTGTATTTAAACTGAATATATTTTCTAATTATTGTAGCCTATTAGGAGCCAGAAAGAAAGACATGGAAAGAAGGTAGGTAGGTTGAACAAGTGTATTGAAATAACAGAACATATATACAAAATAAAAGTGTTATTAGTCAGTAGATAGAAGTGTACATCCGAACTGTCAGGTTTACACTGTGTGCCGACTGCCTGCCTAGGAAGTCTCGCAGGTTAGTATTTATGAAGGAGGAAGAGTTCATTCTAATGTAGATAGGTCACCATAACACTAATGAAAATAATAAATATAGTAGGTGTAGATATGTTCACATTGTATGGTTCACAGTCCTCCCCAGTATTTTGAACAGGAGTAGAGGTTTATTCCTTGTTCAAGATTAGGTTTCCAGTTCCTTCTAAAATCTCTTCATTCTCTTTCACTCCCAGTAGGCCCTTGCATCTTAGTGACATTACTGCCTTGCATGGGGGCGAATTGAGAGAAAAAAAAAAATAAGTAGTGGAAGGATGTTGCCCCCATTCATTACAATCTTAACATCTTCAATTCTAGGATCAGCTGTTATGATTCTTTTTTAAATAATTTCACTGCAAGCCATTATAATGCAAGTAGTTAATGAGTTTAGATTGGTTTGGTTGATTTTGTTTAGTGGCATATCAACCTTTATGGGTTATTTAATAACTGAGTTTAAAAGAATATGAGAAAAAGAAAACATTATTAAAGAGAAAACAATGAAAAAAGGGGAATTAAGATGACAGAAGATAATGATTGACAATGAATTCAGATTTTAATCGTTTTTCCCCAAGCAAGACAATAAAGCCACTAAGATGCAAGGGGTTACTGAGTGTGAAAGAATATGAGAAAAAGAAAAATAATATTAAGGAGAGAGGACAATAAAAGAACAGGAATTAAGTCAACTTGTCCTCATTTCCTTTGTATTACATTTGCAAGAAAGTTCCAATCAGCTTCTTCTGAAGAAATGTTACTTTGTGGAACAGACTTCCAAAAGGGTATTGCTCCAGTCAGTACAACTTTAACATCTTCAAATCTAGGGTCAGCTGTTATCTTTTTTTTTTGTAATCATTTCACCCTAAGCAAGGCAACAAAGCCACTAAGACACAAGGGGTAATTGAGGGTGAAAGAATATGAGAAAAAGAAAATAATAAAGAGTGAGAACAATTAAAGAAGAGCATTCAAGGAGACAATTAAAGAAGAGCATTCAAGGAGACAATTAAAGAAGAGCATTCAAGGAGACAATTAAAGAAGAGCATTCAAGGAGACAATTAAAGAAGAGCATTCAAGGAGACAATTAAAGAAGAGCATTCAAGGAGACAATTAAAGAAGAGCATTCAAGGAGACAATTAAAGAAGAGCATTCAAGGAGACAGAAAATGAGGATTGATATTGCATTTAAATTTTTGAAGATCAAAGTTGACTGGAAAGCAAGAAACCAGAAGAGAGTTGCACAAGTGGATAGGGTGAGAAGAAGCTGTTAGCATAGAACTTATCATTACATCAAGCAATTTTAACTGGAAGATGATGAAACCTTGCTGTTAATCTAGTCAGTTATGTGCCATGTAGGATACTCGCTTAAGCAATCATGTATCTTTTGATACATGACTGAGGCAGATCAGTTGCCATCCAAGGCTATAAAACCTGGTCTATCCAACTATTTACCCATAGTTGAGGGGGAGAAGAAGAGGATTTATATCTTTCCCAAGAGTAAGAGTATGTAAGTGAATGTAATGGATTTGAATGGAATTTGAACTCGGCTCTCCGATTCCCCAATTCGAGCCACTATCCACTAAATTCATAGTCATATATCTTCATATTCACCTCAAACTTCAACCTTGTATGCTCTTACAATGATCTCATTCAGTAACTATCTTCCTTGAGTGGCTCTTGGGCCTTGTATTGGGTGAACAATAGTATTTAAAAAAAAATATCCTCAAAGCCAACACTCCAGATGTATTTACTCAGAAACTATAAGTACAGCAAAGATAGTAAAAGATTTTATGCAATATT